TGTGTGTGTGTGTGTGTGTGTGTGTGTGTGTGTGTGTATTTAAACTGCCATTCTGCCCAGCTGGGAAAATGGAGTGTGAAAATGGAATGCTGTGTTGTACGCTTTGAAAATATTTTAAGATCATTGCTTCTATCCAGAGCTTTTAGAGATTCCAAATAACCCTAAACTGTGTGTTGTGCTTGCTTTCTCTTAGTGCTTGTCTGCAGTACATGGTTACTGCATTCCTTGTGTGGAGTTGGTGTGTGGCCATAACACATCTCAATTCTTTTCTTCCCATTTAACCTCTCCACCCTTCTCTTGGTCCCTTACTGTTTTCAGAAGATCTGGTTTTGGGGAGATAGCTCAGCTGTCCAAGCCCCTGCCTGGTAAACACAAAGGCCTGATTTGAATCCCTGGTACCTCATGCTGTGCCAGCTCTGCTCTGAGCATACCATCCCAGCCACCAAAACTAGGGATGGTGGCTCTTGCCTGTGATCCCAGCACTGGGGAGGCTGAGACAGGAGGATCACTAAGAGTCTGAGCTGCATGGCAAGACCCTGTAACAAATAAATAAAAATATTAAAGAAAATTTGAAAAGATCCATCTCCCTATTTCTTGTTATCTATCTTTTATTTTTCTCTTTATTTATATGTTAGGTTTCTCATATAAGATATTTCATGCTGTATGAATTTATGTTTGTATGTCTGATTTATTTCATTTCATTTTTTTTTGTTTTCTATCTCTGTGCAGACAGAATAGCTCTAAAAAGAGATGTGAGTTACTAACATACTTGTTGCCCATTATGTCAGTTAACATAAGTACAATAAATCTTTCACTACCTAAAATAATTGCATAGTAGCAAAATTGCTTCCCATATACACAGATAATTAAAACTGGAATAAATTCACAACTTCAGTACCAGTGTCTATTCTGGTCTATAAAATCTAGTGGTGGTGAAACTTTTAGAGCCTTCTATGATAACACAGGTTTGCCACCACTGAGTCTATTATACTAAAATACAAATTAATGCATATTACTTTAGTGCTTGCTTTTGACTTGACTTTGATTGTGTGTTGTGTGCGATGGAGACAGTTGAGTAGTAAATTTGGAGGATAACTCAGCACCATCCACATAGCACATTCCCAGCGGCTAAGTGATGTCATTGCCCTCAAGTTATTTACCTTATAGCAAAGTTGACAAAAACACATATTCACAAGATACTGAAACAGAGGAAAGATATCTCTCACTAGAGTACTTTTCAGGATATATGATGGATATTTCAGGGACTGAAGAGGTGTCAGAGCTATCAAAAAATCAGCTATAAGCATCATGAATTTTGGAATGCTCAATAGAGAAGCATTGCTGATTTTAAGCAGAGAAGTAATGTATGAAGGTTCTATAGTTAATGATAATTAGCCTCATAATTACATTCAGAATATTTGATAAAGAGCAAAAATTGAACAGTCAGAAATATCCACTAAATTGTATAATTATACATATACAATTATATAATATGCAATTATAATTTATGCTAGAATTGAAACTCTAAAACCTATTTCTTCTTCAATGTAAGAGTCACATTAATACAAATCTGAGAATCCATGTCACCTTATTTTGTATAACTAGAGCAACAAAATAGTAAAAAGAGTGAAGTATTTACTTTAAAGATTAGCTATGTCCCAGATACTGAAGCAACTTTTAAAAAGTTTATTCCCAAACCTTATTTTCATGCAGTGCTTCCAGCTTGCACTCCATTTATAGCTCTTTTCTACATTATAATTCAGGACAATTCAATATTCAGAAACTGTACCTAATATTATTAGCATTGTGGACATGGGACGCCGAGTCTCACTGGAGTAAGGCATGTGAATAGAGTACAGTCAATTTTTGTAGTGCATTTTGTGAAAGTCTAAGTGCAGTGAAGGGGGCATGGTCGAGGCGTTTACTGTTCCATTCAGGAAGAGCCTGCCAGCAGTCTCTGGTGACCCCACATGGGGAGCACAGGCCTCCGCTCTCCAGCGTCATCTTTCAGTGCAGCATGTGCCAAGGGCTCATGGCTGCTCCGTGGCTCATCTGTCACTCCTGTTGTTTGTTTCAATAACAGGCACTTGCCAACTACATGTGTTCCACTGTTGTCTTCATGGAAAACAGCTCAGTGTAGATACCTGTTTCCAGAGAGTGCCCAAGCAAGACTGTTTTGGGCTTGTGTTCCTTTGTGTGATAAAGGGTGGATGATGACTTTATTTTTCTTTTAACCTTGGGAGCTGTCACATTCTGTAGGGTAGTGACCAAGTTCACTAAAGGTCTTATCTCTTGTTGTGGCTTACATCTCCATGTCCCCCAAAGCTTCATGATGTTGTGGATGGGAATTCGGAGGGTGGCTGGACTGTGGGTGTGTGATACTCATCATTGGATTAGTCCACTGATTTGCTGTAATTTTGAGTGTGGTGATGGATTTAGGGAAGAGCTACCATAGCTATGGGTGGCACCAACCAACAGATGTAGACAGTTTATGGAATAAAAGCCAAAAAGAATGAGACAGGCTTCTGTTTTCTGCATGCCGTGCCATCAAGTGTTTCTCCTCCATCATGGCCCTCTGCATTGCCCCTGCCTTGAAGCCGGCCAACTATGGGCTAAACCTTCTCATTCTGTGAGGTACAATAAACATTTTCTCCTGCAACTTGAGGTTGTCAAGTATTTTGTTCCAGCAATGAGAAAGTAACTAAGACAGCTTCTAACCACCTGATTTAGTTAATAGAAACAATTATGATTTCTTTGAGAATACTTTATATACTTGTTTAATTAGCTAAACTACTTCGGCTGTTTGGCTACAGTATAGCCAGAGAAATACTACTGTTCACCATGAGGAGTGGATTAAAGCATAACCACAAAAGCAAAATCCTCAAAATTAAGTAAGATTGGATCAAAATATTAAAATTATTAAGATAGCCTACTCTTTAAAATTGTGGATTGATTCACCCAAACAGCTTAAATATTGATTGTTCTTGTTTTGATCATATTTACTATTCTAATTTATAATGCAGTTTGACCTTGAGAAAGGGCATACTTTTGAAGATGGTTTGATGGAAAGGTAGCTTAGTTTTTATCATAAATAGAGCTGAAAGTAAGAGATCACTCTCATACCAGGCAGTTGTGGAACTTTTTTTTTATATAAAATAAAATGATACCCTCACTCAATGGATCATTATTTCTTATCTGCTTCTCAAAATCTACTTCGGTCATGCTTTTATGTACTTACATCTCGTATCTATGCTCTGTGTCTCCCACCTCATACTTTCTCACTGTGACTATACCTAGAGTTTTTTAATAATGAGCCACTACTGTAAAAAAAATGTTTTTAAGCTTTAGCTAGACCACATCAAAGGTCTGTTTGGAACTCCCATGTGAGTAGATGGTGACACTTCCTGAGTTTGTGTGAGCTGTGAGCTGTGTTCATTCACCAATCCTCAGATGCTGGACATTTGCCCCCTGTGTTCTGATTGAGACTCAGGCTAGTTTGACATTTCTCTAAGGGCATCTTCTTTGAGTCTCATGCCTCCTAAGAAGGAAATTGTTCTTCCTCCCATTTTCATGCTATGACAGTCTGTGCAGAAGTCTCTGCCCTGGTGTGTATCTACTCTGCCTTCAAAAGCTGCTTTATACGTTACTTAAAGAGCCAATTCCTTCTGGCAGAAGCAACTTTTACACATTATCCTATATTTTAAAAATTCTAATCTTCAGGAAAGTAAAATCTTTTCAGGGAAAACTAAGGCAAAGCTGATCTTTGTGAACTTTGGGAGCATTACTGCCTGGCTGTGATTGCTAGTCTCTATTTTGACACACTGATTTATCTTAAGAGGAGTAATTTTGCTGTATTTTATAGTTAGGCAGTTTTCTATAATGAAATATAAAGATGAGTAATTAGAAGAACAAAAAGTTTATGTTATGAAAAATAAATTGAAAAAGAAAAATTTGGTGTTGGTGTGTTGAGCGGAAACTAAAATTTGACATTGCCTGTAGAATTTAATGCCTTAAATCTTGACTGGCTTGTGTTACCGCAATAAAAAAAAAAAAAGAAAAACAATCCCTCTGAATACTTTATAACCTCTCAGCAGAGGAAGTGTTGCTGTGGTGGTATCTGGGAAATGCACTCAGTGTCTGCAGCCAGTATGTATTTATCTTCTGTGAATAGTTTTTTTCTGGGTAGGCAGATGATAATACTGGTGCTGGATCTTAGTGTCTTTATTCATGGTACAGATAAACTTCAGCTCTCTGTTCTGGTGGATCTATGCAATATGAAGGGTCTCCAGCTATATCTCTATTAAAGCTATGGAATACTTTTTTAGATTTCCTAATAAAGAGGCAAATAATAATCATGTTTAAAATAGACTCTGGAGTACAATTAAACCTATTTCATCTTTCTTCCCAGGATGGTATAAACAAGGTGTTCTAAATAAAAAAGGCAACAGTTTTCTCCTTCACTTTTCAATTTTCCAGTCAGGGGGAAGATTAAAGGCTCTATCAAGTGAGCTGCTGCTGTCTCTGGTATCTGGTATGTGTTTCTTAGGCAGGTAGGAGATGAAGCCAGCATGGTGACTCGGAGCCTGTCAAGCTGATGTAACACCAATAGGATGAGCAATTAAGCCTGCCTTAAAAGAAGGAAAGACAGGGCTAGGGAGGGAGAGTGGAAGAGGCAGAAAGGGAGAGATGGAAGGAGGAGGGAGGGAGGGAAGCAGGAAGGGAAGCAGCAGGTGAGCTTATTGCTAAGATTTATTAGTGCCAGCTATGTTATCAGCTGCCTAGGGTGGTAGGAAGGAGAGCAAGGAGGCAGTGATGTTCATTGTCTCCACGCGGAGCTTCTTCCTAGGGCTTAACCATATCCTCACTCTCATGTTGTATCTTAAAAATATATGTGGCTGCACCGATATGGAAAACCTTTCTACATTGTTACTGTAACTTGTAGAAGACACCCAAAATTCAATCAAATAATATTTTGTTTGTGCCTGCATAGATGAATTGTGTGAGCACCTGTGTGAATTATGGTGCTACTGGATAGAAATAATCTGAAAAGGATTCAGGATTGAATAAAGCAATGATTCGAGGTGCTATGCCTGCCTAATTAAGCATTGGGTAGAGAAAAATTCAGTTAAAATTTAGGTGAGGCTATGTGTACAGCTGAAACACTGGCCATGTTCTCATAAAGCCTAGTGCCCTACCCTTCCTACTCCTGAGGCTTCTTTCGTAGCATGGATGGGGCTTGCGGTGGCCTTTAGTGGCACTAGCAATCCAGTCAGACATTGGGCTGATATCCTCTATGGTGCTATTTTCACTGCCTAACAAGCCATAATAAAATACCTGGTATTTTAAGGGTTTTTACTGTGTAAGAAAATTTACCCTGCTAAATAACATAGTAGCTTCCATTTTCAAGGGTGAAACAGTAATTGACTTAGATCTGTTATTTTAATTTGAAGTCTTACCAACTGTCTTTATAGCTTTGGAACATTAAATATTTTATGTATGTTTTTATAATTTGGCATTATCAATCTCCCTGTCTTATCAGTTTGATTTGTCAGATGGCAATTTTTGAAATGGTTGATTATAAACATAAGAGTTAAAGTTTCAAAAATTTGGGCCATTGGTAAATGGAAATCCTCTTCTAAGGAACTGTTACAATATATTACGCTAATAACTTGTGAATTGTTGCCAAAACCTTAAGGGTAAAGAAGTTGTGGAATTTGAAACTTTAAGACCTTTAAGACCTTAAAGCCAAAGTAAATGCTAAGGAGATAGATAGCTTGGGGTCTAAGTGCATACCTGTCAAGGGCAAGAACCTGAGTTTGACCCCTGATGTCCTATGCTGTGCCAGCCCTGGAACACAGGGTGCACTATGCAAACCCCAAAACCAGGTGTGGTGATGCATGCTTATAATCCCAGTACTGGGGAGGCTGAGACAGGAGAATCAGTATAAGTCTGAGCTGTGTAGTGAGACCCTGTACCAAATAAATAAATAAGAATAAAAACCAAAGTAAAGGGCCAGAGAGATAGCTCAGTAGAATAAGCACTTGCCTGGCAAGCGCAAGGCCCCGAGTTCAATCCCCGGTACCGCAAAACAAAAAGCAAAAAGCAAAGTAAGCCTATGAATGGTCTTTTCCTATGCATGAAACTTCTCTCAATGGTACAGGAGCACTTCTTACAGGCCATGTTGATTTCTCTTTCCCTTTATCAGAATGTAAAGAGCTAGCAGGCTGCACAGTTAGCTATCGTGAATCTTCATGCCCAAGCTAGATTTCACTCCCCTATTATTTTACATGACACAGTCAATATGCATTTATTACAGAAAATTTAGAAGACAAATATAAACAATATGACAACATTCCAGTTGCTTTCCTAATTCAGCGTAATTATCTAGTATTTCTGAATGTAAGTTGTGTATACATAGGTGTTTAATTTTACAGACAATGAGTTTTAATGAGCTAATTGAATTCATTACATGTACAGCTGAACTATCTCTCTTGTTGCTGCCCACAGGGGCAGTTCTTGTGTACTGGTCTCTGTGGCTTCTGTCTTACTTTTACCACTTGGCAGCATGTTATGGATGCCTTTTCGTATTAATAAAGCATGAACAAGTGGGTGGTTATATTAGGGTTTTACTAGAAGAACAGATATAATACAAGGAACAGATATAACACAAGATGTACAAGTATATGAGAAATTATAAGATTGGCTTACGATTGTCAGATGCAGAGTCAGATGAGGAAGCCTGCAGAGGGCGTCTGCCCACCTGAGACTGAAGAATTCAGTCCTAAGGTCTGAAATTCACAGCAGTGTTTTGTGTAAGTCTCTGTCAGTTGGCCAATGGGTCTGTGGAGAACTCTGATCTGTAACGGACAGCTGAAGCATCTCCAGAAAACCAGAGACCAAAGATCTGCTCTGGAAGCCAGGAGATGATGTCTAAGCTGACTGTGCAGACCAAAGTTCCTCTGAGGGAGCGGAACATTGAATCCTTACTCAACCCATGTGGATAG